CCTTTTTGAGTATAGGGAATATTAAAATTTTGTATTTGTATCCTCAGCATTTAGCACAGCACCTAGCACAAAGGAAATCCTTAAATACTTCCACATTGATTCACTAAATATTCAGCAACCACTTATTAAACTCCTATTATATTCTGTGCACTGGTGATGCAAAGACACACAAAATGAAAGTCCGTTTCCTCAAGAGTATTCTACTGGGGGTTGAGGGTGGGGTTCATATATAGTCTCATAAAGAGCAAGGAGTAAAGAAGAAAAGAAGAAATCAGGCAGAGTACTGAAGAGTAGCAGCTAAGAGAAAGAAGGCGGAAGAGATACCTGAGCTGAACTTTGATGGAAGAAATCCCAAAAGCAGAGATTGCATTATGGACTGAATGTGCAAATGCACATATCCCAGAAGTGAAAAGCCAAGTTCTGGGAATAGAGAATAGTCCAGTTTGGCTGGAATGTAGAATGTACGAGGTAGGTAATGTAAGGGGGGAAAGGTAGGTCAAAACTAGGTTGTGGAGGATGTTCTTATATGAAGACCTAAGTCAGTCAGTCAATATTATCATAGTGCCTACTATGTGTCAGGCACTGTGTTAAGCACTGGGGACACAAGAAAAGGCAGAAGCCAGTCCCTCCTCTCAAGAAGCTCAAAATTTAATGAGGGAGATGACCTGAAAACTATGTACAAACTATATACAAGATAAATTGGAGCTAATTAGCAAGGGAAGGGACCAGAATTAAAGGGGAGTGAGATAGGCTTCTTGTAGAAGGTGAGATTTTAGCTAGGACTTGAAGGAAGCCAGGAGTTGGAGGTGAGGAGGGAGAGCCTTCCAGGTATGGGAGATAGCCAGTGAAAATATCCAGAGGTGGGAGATGGAGCATTGTGTTTGAGGAACAGCAAGAAGTCAGTGTCACTGGATTACTGAGTAGTTGGGGAAGAGGGAGGTATGAGGTGTAGAAAAACAGGAAAGGTAGGGAGAAAGGTAGGTTATGAAAGACTTTGAACATTAGAGACGTTTTTTGATCCTGGAGGTAAGAGGGCATCACTGGAATTTACTGAGTAGGGGAATGAATTGGACAGACCTAAACTTTAGGAAAATCACTTTGATGGTTGAGTGGAGGATGGACTGAAGTAGTAAGAGACTTGTGTCAGGGAAACCAGTTAGCAGGCAATTGCAATAGTCCAGGTGTGAGGTGATGATGGGCCTTTGGAGGGTGGTGGCAATTCCAGGAAAGGGTGTATATGTGAGATAAGTTACCAAGATAGGTAAAATCAACAGCTTTGGCAAGAGATTGGATATAGGGTTGAAAGAGAATGAGTAGTTGACGAAGACACTTGCGTTGGTGGAATTCAAACTCAGGTCTTCCTAACTTTCCTACTACTGTTGAGGGTATAGCAGCCTCTTACTGAGTTAGCTAGGTGGCACAGGGGGTAGAGTGCTGGGCTTGGAGTTAGGAAGAGGGGACGGTTTGGGGGAAAAGTGTAAATTAAGAAGTTTGTAAAGGCAACTGAAAGCCTCTGAAGTGTTCTGAGCAGGGAATAATACAGTCACACTTGTGTCTATTTTGGCATCTGGGTAGAACAACTGGAAAGAGGGAGATTGCAAGTAGGGAATCTAATGCTATTAATGTTAGACTGTAGTTTGGGTGAGGGGATAAAGGCTTGGACTAAGGTGGTTGCAGTGGGGATGGAAGAGAATGGATAAAAGAGATGAGCAAATGAATGGATTTAGTAGGTAAGGAAGGAGGATGTTAAGAATTTAGGAGATTGGGAGGATCACAGATTTTCAGCTGGAAGGGCCCTTAGGAGAAATCTTAATCAATTCCTTCGTTTTACAGATGAGAAAAACAAGGCCAGAGAGATTAAGTGATTTGTCCAAGGTGATATAAGTAGTAATAGGTAGGATTTGAACCCAAGTCTTTTGTTTTCTGAACCATGATATCCGATGGGGGGACAGGTTTTGGGGGAGGGAAAAGTGGCAAAGGTAAGTTTCAGAGGTATCAAACGGGATATTCAGATAGAGTTGACTAGCAGGGAGCTGGTGATGGGTTCAACTATTTTATTATTATTTTCAGATATTTGGTCCAAGAATGCAACTTGGCTTTTTGCCATGCAAATCCTTCCCACAATACAGTAGCAAGGTCTTTGCCTGATATACCTCTTGGCTCCTGTTTCGGGATTTCTTTATCACATGAAAGACTGGTCTATGTTTGGAAATATGTAAGCCAACTCAAGACGAAAAAATAACATGTGAATCATAGAAAACTTTGTTTCAATCCAAGAATAATAATTTTACATATAATATTTTATGTTCCTAAACCAACATAGGATCTTTAAATTAACAAAAGGCACTAAAAGTTAATACTGATTAATTTCCTTTTCCTCAAGAAATTAACTTTAAAAAGCCTCCCCACAAAATATTTTCTCCATGGTTTCAAAATTTCCAGAATGTACTACGTAAAGATAAAAGGAAGTCTAATTTCTTCTATTCCTTACAAGATTCCTAGTTTCCTCAGCTTGGGCACTTTCTCCACTGACAAGGGCTACAACTACTCTACATTTCAGTAGATGATTCCAAGTTGCTGTTGCCTGTACTTGGTGGGCAATCTTTTGGTAATAGATCTGTCCTCACTTTGCTAGGCTAGTTGATGACAGGCTGCATATAGTCAGGCTCACATCCATAACATTTCTAGTTTTTGAGAAATTGCCAAAGCTTGTACTCAGCTGGCAGAGACCTTCAGGAGCTGAAGTTCGTATCCCATGCAATAAGGGATTTTTGTGCATGTGCAGTATCTGCATTAGAGAGAGCTATAGTTTTCACTGCTATAAAGATGTAGAAACTTTTGAGATTAGCACAGCCCCTTATTTAGGCAAGCCATCTCACCTGTCTTTGCCTGTTTCCTCATGGGTAAAATGGGGAAGTAACTACCTTCAAACAGTGGTAAGGAAGAAAGTGATTTATAAACCTCCCTCCAAGTGCCATATAAATGTGAGTCACTACTGAGTATCCAAATCATGTAGTTCTGAGGATTCCTTGATTAGAAGATGTCACATTATGCTGTTCTCAAGCTAGAAATTAAGAATGAAATTCTTGAGGTCTTATCCAGTCCCCTTCCTCTCTGTGCATACAGTAGACCATAAAAAGATATTCAAGTGATTCCCAATGACTCTTAATTTATTCTAAATCTTTTCTGTGCTTAATTTAAACCCTTGTCACAATTTAAGCTACATTTATATTAGCATTATAGAGAGTGAGGTGAGTTCACTGAATAGGAGGAAGAGATCAGGTTAAATCACATTTTCACATTTGGTAAAGTGCTCAGAACTTTAAATTATTCCAAGCAGTTTATTGCCACTGACCACTTTATACACTATATATAATAAACGTTATATTCTGTTCAAGGCCACCACTAACTACTCTCTTAAAGAGGTTCACGGAAGAAGAAAAGATCAGCAATCAGTTAATTCTAAAGATAAGGAAATTGAGGCCCAGAGAGGATAAATGACTTGCTCAAGGTCACAAAAGTAGCTAGGTGGCTCAGCAAGAGTGTTGGATCTAAATTAGGAATATCAGAGTTCAAATCCAACCTTAGGCACAACCAGTGTGATCCTGGGCAAGTAATTTAAACTCTCTCTGCCCTGTTTTCTCATCTGTAAAATAAGGATAATAATAGCACCTGCTTTTCAGGATTGTTGTGAGGCTCAAATGAATTATTTGTAAAGTGCTTTGCAAACTTAAAGTGCTATATAAATGCTAGCTATTACTAGTGACTATTACTAGTGAGAAGGGACTTGAACTCAGGTAACCTTTGATTCCAGACCCCTATCCTATACTGAATTCAAACCCCGTGCTTCCCCTACGGGCCCTGTGGAGCAATACCAATGAAGGCTGGCTCACAAGGTCCACGAGGGCAAGATCAGTTCTGATTTAGTTTCCTACTTCCATCCACACCTAGTCTAGTGCAGGCCCCGGCCAACTCCCCCTCCCCCACCAACCGCAGCAGGAGCTCAGCTGAAGGAAGGCTGTGGAATGAATGAATGAATGAATGAATGAATGAATGAAGGGGCAAGCCCTGACTGCGGCCTGGTCCTCAGTTTCCCAGACTGGGCTGAGTGAAAGGGGCTGGGCGGGTGCATTTGGACTTTAATCTTCCCGAAGGGCACCCACCCAACGAAACTAGGCGGGGGCGAGCTGGCAGCTGGTGGGGCTGAGGCTGGGCCCCCGCTCCCGCCCTTCGAGGCGCAGAGGCGGTTTTCCTGAGTCACGGGGAGAAGGGAGGCCGGCTCCTTGGATGGCTTGCTTGCCGGCGCCCCGATCTCAGCCAGGCAGTCTACGGAAGACGGGGCGGAGTGGGAGACTTCTTCCCCCCACCCCTCACCGGACCGAGCCGCCGCCGCAGCTTCACCGGCCTGACGCCAGCGTTCAACGTTCTACACCCCCCCCACCGACCCCCCAGCAGCCGAGCTATTTGCCCTCCCTTCCTGTATCACGTGTACCCGGAAGCATGTGGGAGGGCCCCAAACCGCCCACGGAAATGACGTCGACCCACCCTAGTCGCATGATGTGGCAAAATGCAAAAAAAAAAAAAAGATGGGGGTTGGGGAGGAAAAGTGAGAGGGAGGGGAAAGTGATGAGTCCAGAAAATAGTCCCTCGGGGTCCTAGGGGACTACGGAACTGGTTAGAGCAAAGAAACCGGCAGGTTTGCGCACTGCGCTTCGAATTCCTGTGCCCGGCCGGGCGTCGTCTTTCTGGGGGAGGGGTACATAAGGCGGAGGGAGTACTTTGCGAGGGCCCGGCCGCAGTGCTCTCCCACAGATCCCTCCGCCGGGCTCAGCCGTTTCCGGAGTCTGTGCTGCGCCCGGTTCCGCCATTGCGGCTCTCCCTGCCTCAGGAGCCTCCGCCCCCGGCCCGAGCTTGTCCGTCCGTCCGTCTGCCTGCCCTCCAGCTACCCCCCCACGCCTGCACCCCCAGAGAACAGCCTCACCGCGCCCGACCTCCCCCCCTTCCCCTCCTCCTCCCCCCGCGGAGAGCCCCGACGGCCTCAGCCCCGCAGCCCCAGTGACAGGAGGAGACAGGAGCCCCCGGCAGCGCCATGGCCCAGATACTCCCCATCCGTTTCCAGGAGCATCTCCAGGTGGGGCCGCCGCCCGCCGAGGCTGGGGCGGGGGCCCGGGCCACGGGGGTTGGTGCGGGGGGGGCGGCTCCAGGCCTGGCCCGCAGCGGGGGCCCGGCTGGGGCCGGGGCCGGCGGCGGGGAGGAGGGAGGAGGCTGCAGTGGGGGAGCTAGAGACGGAGCCTGCTAAAGGGGAAGGGGACGAGGACTGTGGCGGTGCCCTGGAGTCAGGTGCTGCGCACCCGCGGCCCGGCAGGCCCTTCCTTTTCTCCTCCGGGAGTCGCCTCCCCCACCTGAGGGCGGCGGGGTGGGGGGGGTTGTCACCTCCTGTTTCTCTCTTCTCCTTTGCACCCTCCTGTGTTGGCGCCCTGGAATCGGGGTGGGGGGTGTGTGTGTAAAGGAGATGGAGGAGGAGCAGCAGCAGCTCTCTTCCTCCTCCCTCTGCGGCTCCCTGCGACGAGAAGGACACCTTTCACAGGGGGAGGGAGAGCTGTCTGCCTCTCGCCCTCCCCCGAGCCATTGGGTAGGGAAGGTCACAGCTCCTGGACCCCCCAAAAAAGGGAGCGTGATGACTTGGGCCTGTGTCTACCGGGCACACCATGGGGCCAAGGTCCTTGGGGTGGGGGAAGCATGTTGCCCCTCCCCATGCAGAAACTAGAAATTGTGACTTCAGTCCCGGTTTCTGGGATCAAGGATGATTGTATGAGATGTCCAGGGGTCACTGAGGCCTGCTGGAAATTGAGGCCAGGTTAAGCGGCTGTGAAGCTGGGGGCATCCTTTGGAGGTTATCTCAGAATGGAACAGGGCCCCCAGGTGGAGAGAATCTGGCTTTCGATTGACCTGCAGAGTCCCTGAGCCTTCACTATCATTTAGTTTACAAGGACCTTCCCAAACGTTAAGGAGTCCATCAAACAGGGGCTTGTGATGGGAGGTACAGGCTGAGCTGGCCCAGTGTCTGCTGGCAGGTGCATTGTGGAAGTGGTCTAGGATAGGACTTTCAGCCTCTGTCCTTGGAACTCCCACTCGACATCAACCTATGTCACCTTGGCTGAAACCATATCTTCCCAAGAGAACAACCTGCCTTAGTTCAGGCTTATCAGTTTTGTGTGTTTTTTTTTTTAATGGAGATGGTATTATTGATGTCAGGCAATGATATCTAACCATTGAACTTTTTTTCCCCTCATCAAAGAGTATTTTTTTTTTTAACTTTTTCTCTGTTAGTACACTTAGGACAGATGAGCAAACCTCCTGTTGGAAGAATCTACTGTTGTTTAGGCCATTGATATCTAATATTAAGCTGAACCTCTTTTTTATGACATTTGTTATCTTTGCTGATATATGCAAGACAAAAAAATTTTTTTTTACCTGTGTTTAAAAAACTATTTAGAAAGACTAAGGAAACAATGGTGTTTGGAGCAAAACTTAGTCCAAGCTTTTCTAATCATGGATGGAATAAAGCATTCTATGCTGAAATAGAATATACTTTGGCATCAAAGAGATCAAAATCTTAAACTTGATTTTTTTTTTTCTTTTTTGGCTAGGCAGTGGGGTTAAGTGACTTGCATAGGGTCACACAGCTAATAAGTGTTGAGTGTCAGAGGTCGGATTTGAATTCAGATCCTTTTGACTCCAGAGCCAGTGCTCTATTCACTGTGCCAGCTAGCTGCCCCTTAAACTTGATTTTAATGGTAGAATGAGTGAAGGAAATTTAAATGTCTCATTTTTAGGTTGAGACATGGTTATCTTCTTGTGAAAATTGAGGATTCATATAGAGACCTAGGAAGAAAGAATGAAAACTAATATTCAAATTAGATTTTCTGCAGTACAGTTTCTCACACAGATGTATGTAGAACATACTTTTTAAAAAAGCAGGTGTAGCTGGCATTTTTTTTTTAAACTGCAGTAGTAAAGCCCACCAGATAATCTGTTGAACTCCAACCCTCCTTTTTTCAAATTTGGCAGTAGTAGAACAATACCCACTAACCCACTTATTTGGTAAAAGTGAACTGGATAGGTAGAAGAAAGGCTTTAAAAAATGAAAACTAATTCCTACTCATTGATTCTTTATGGGCCAAGTAAATCACCACTGAAATTTGGATTGGACAGGATAGGCAAAAATAGATGCCTTGGATTTTTTTTTAAATGTTATTTGCAAGGTTTTGCAGTTTTGTGCAATATGCTTTTATGTAGGATAGTAAGTTTGCAGCTTCAGTAATTCAGGATAATTTAAAAACACGTAAGAAGACCTAGGTGAAACAGTTTATTAACAGTACTTTTGGTATAGAGGCTGCTTAACCTTTTTAAGATGTTTGAAAAACTAACTCTAACTTGATTTCTATAGCCTTACGTTCATTGACAGGCTTTAGGTCTGTCAGCAAAGGTCAGTTTATTTAACTATCATGAGAAGACATTCCAAGAATTGGAAGGAGGTGGTCAATCAATTTGACCACTTATGTGTAAGGTTCTCTTGGAGCTAGTGGTTTCCTTTAAGGAAGGAAGTGGGGAAAAAAAGCCTTAAAAAGCTACAACTCCCAACCTTCAAACCATTGCCCTCTTTTTCTAGAACCTATAGCATATGCCATTGTATTTCCAGGTTCTGTGGATTTACAGTTGGTCCTACCTCTGACCTTTCCCTTTCTTTTCTCTGGTGAATAAAGATATGAAATGTGTGAGTTAGGTGGTAGAACTGCTAGCCAGAGCAGTTCAGTTTAAAAGCAGGAAGCAATAATGAATTATTGGGAGACTTCTCTTTTTCACCCTCTTTCTAAGCCCCCACAATAATTAACTGTGTTCTCCAGAATAGGCAGGTATACCACAGTACATCCTGGGAAGGAAAGTTCCTGTGTCATTTAAATTGTGGTAATGGATAATCTCTTGAGATGAAAGTGTGATTAAAAGGGGTATGGTTGATAGTTGTGAATGAACTTGTTTCACTATGATTAAGAACACTGTATTAGATTGGAAACCTGTAGAACTGACATTTAACTAAGTCACTTAATGCTCATTTTGCTTCTTACAACAGTTATTTCTGATTGTAATTGATTGGATCATAGATGTAGAGTTAGAAGGGATCTTGGGCCATCTAGTTCAGTCCCCTTATTTTATAGTTGAAGTGATTTGTCCAAGGTTACGCTAGAATTCCATGATTTTGAGAGGTTCTGTTCAACTTTGCCGCTATATTCTTGAAACTTAACTTGCATTTGACCTGATATAAAACCTGTCATTGAGCCTCAGGATATCTTTTAAGGTTCTAGACATTGGATGTGTCTTTCATTTTTTTTTTCTTGAAAAATTATGACAGTGTACTAAGGAATTCATCATATTTTCTACCTGAGATTCTGGATTTCTTCCGTTGCTGCCTCCTCCTCCCTATACTACTACCATCCTAGTTTAGGTACTAATCACCTCTGGAACATAATACTCTCCTAATTCATCTCCCGTCTCCTCTCTATAACTTATCCTTCACATAGGTTTGACCATGTATTTCTTGCTCTTCTGTACTCCCAATGGTCTGTAGGATAAAATGTAAGCTGTACCTGGCATTTGAGGCCTTCTGCATTCTGTCTTAAGCTGTATTTATAGCCTTTACTTATAGTACGTTCTGGACTACTCAGTTGTTTTCTAGTTTTATCTTGTACAGATCATCTCTTGTGCCTGAAATACTACCTTCACATTTTTACCTATCTAAAATCCTTTTCTTTATCCTAGGACTAGCTTAGATGCCACTTCCTCCAAGAAGTCTTGTTGGATTTCTACATCTTCCCATTCATCTTAGCTAAAAACTGATAGCTAAAAACTGAGCTGGCAAATTTTCTTAGACCTGTGACTGAGTCTTTCTTTAACCTTATCAAAATCTACCTTGTATCATTCACCTTTATCGCTCTCCCCATATCAGATCCAAAAACATGGGAAATGTTTCACAAATCTTGAAGTGATATGTAAGTGCTATTATAAATTCCATGAAGACGGGGACTTAATGTTTGAATGAATTAAGTAGAAGACCAAAGTGTGAATAGTTTAGAGATATAAATAGAACCCTAATGTGTTAATTATCCTTTTCTGATGAATTTGAGCTCAAAGAATTGACCTATTCCCCAATCAGAGATTATAGTTAACTTAGTTATGTTGAGATTTTATTAGATTTTGTATGTAATCTTTTCCACATTAAGATATTAGGCAGTTACTTTATAGTTCTCTCAGATACCATAGCTCCTTCTCTAAAATACATATCCATAGAGGCCACATGCTATAGAAGAAATAGTGTTATCTCTGGCATTAGAAAACCTAGGTTCGGATCCTACCCATGTTACTTATATGTGTGCCTTTGGTCAAGTCACTTAACTTTGTTGCTCCTCAGTTACTTCGTCATTTGTAAAATGAGGAGTTTAGGGTTAGACAGCCTCTGAGGTCCCTTCCAACTCTGAGATTTTGGGTGAAAGACATATATACTATTGGGGTTGGGGGGGGGGGAAGAAGCCATTTGAACTGGAACAAGAGGGTATTTGAAAGGATAATATGGGTTTTTGGCACTTACAGAGCTGTAGAATTGTTCTGTTGTAAAATTTCCTTGTACATTTCAGATATTATACTATTAAAAAATTCTGAAGGAGAGGCAGTTGTGTCCTGAATGAAATATCATTTATTAAGCACTTACTGTGTGATTAGCATGGTGGCACGTCTAGGGGTACAAAAAATAAGATAGTTTTTGCCTTCCAGAATCTTACATTGTAATAGCTGAAGACAGTAGACATTAGGGAGTGATGTAGGTGGTGAATGGATCAGAAGAGCAATTGATTGACATGTTCTTTCTTTTTTTTTTTTAGACAGTAGGGTTAAGTGACTTGCCCTGGGTCACACAGCTAGTAAGTGTCAAGTGTCTGAGGCCACATTTGAACTCAGCTCCTCCTGACTCCAAGGCCAGTGCTCTATCCGCTGTGCCACCGAGCTGCCCCAGCATGTCCTATCTAGGAGTGGTAGTGTTGATTTGTTACTGGTCCTAGTGCTGGAGGTGGAAAAGGGGGA